GGGAGGGGGCAGGCAGCTGGCGCTGGGCTGGCAGCTGGTGGGTCCGGGACCGGCCTCGTCAAGGGGGGACGCTCCAGACTGCGGTGCCAAAGGAAGCGGGACCACGTCAAGTACCAGTAAAGTAGGAACGTTTTATTTAACAATGAAGCGCGGGAGGGGTTGCTGAGAGCGGCGTAACAAAATGCCAGCCCTGTACGAAGTCGGAATTTAAAAAACAACATGGTTTCTAGCACAAGGAGGAGCTCAGGAGGGTCCCCACCGCCTCCCACCGGGGTACGTGTTTGTGTTTAAAAGTCTGATCCTTCCTGTTGAGAGTAAATCTGCTTCATTAAGAAAGTAGTTGTGGGTACATGTACATACACACAGGTGTTCAACGGTGCTGCTACCATTGCATTCACACTTACCTGATCTCCATGAATTCCCTGCCATCCTGCCTAGAGTTCCAGCTCACACACCTGGCTGGGGTCACTCACGAAGGGCAAAGGCTTCAAGTAATCCTCCCCTCACCTCTGCCTGACTGATGGCATCTGAAAAGCCCTCTCTGGGCCCAGCTGGGGTGAAGAACAGAACTCTCCTGCCTCCATTACTGTGACTTTTTCTTGCAGTGTCGGTGCAAACAGTTCTCACTATGTATTCATAAACCTGTTAAAATACCAGCAATTCATACCATTTTACCTCTTTAATGCATAAATGCCCCAAAAAATAATTGTATAGTTCTTGCTTTTAGACAATTAAAACGAAGACAGCAATCTTTTTGTGGTGAGTTAATAAAACTTCCTAAGACTAAATTCCAGAGAAGCTGTACATAAAGTTATTTAGTGCTAAAAATCTACAATACATTTTTCAAGTATAAGATACTGAAATATTATTGCCAATAAATAGTTGTGCTGTAGTCAAAGCCGTGGTTCCTTTGTTGAATCATTCACATCTCAACATGTTAGGATTTAGTTTCTCACTGAGTTTGTGTATTAAAATTGCTAATTCTTCTGTTGCTTGGGACTTGTCCTCCAAAAGTTCGTAGCGAAGACTGGAGATGTCCTGTTTGATTTCCTTTAGTTCACCTGTATTAATGATGGAAAGAAAATACTTGTTAGCAAAATTTAGCACTCATTCAATACTGTGAAGTGACATCAGTGCCTATTGCAGATCATCATCTCAAGATGCCCGTGGCAGCAGATTTGGGCTGGGGCAGGAGGCTTTACCTTCTCTTCACCCTCTCCGAGATGGGTGTCTCTCCACCCCTAGACAGCACCCAAAGGTATTTTAATGGTCAGCTGAACTCTAATGTTGTGCTCAGTGTCTGTACAGAACATCAAAGATTCAAAAGGTGCTTTACATAGGTTAATGAATTAATCACTGCAACACTGCTGAGCAGCTGGTAAGTATTAGTATCCCCCTTTCAGAAAGAAAAGGCAAAGAGATTTTTTTTCTGAAGTGATGTGCAAAGATCACACAGGAAAAGTGTGGCAGAGCTGACAATTAAACTCACAGCCTCCGAGTCTCTCTCCTCTTGCTTAAAAATATCCTTTGGATTAGAAAAAGTCAACCAATTTCAAATTGTTATGATTTGAGATGAGTACAAAAAAGGTATTTAAAAGAAAACTTCAAGACAGCAACAAGCATGTTTTCCATTATAAGATAATCAAGAGCAGAAGCTTTTAAAAATATTTAAATATTATTCTTCCAGCAAGTGTCAGATACATGAATTCTTACACAGTAGCCACTACACAAAATTATTTCTCATGTATGAAATAAAGACTACAAAAAAAATACCTAAATTCTCTAGTGCTGCAAAATAGGGAAACATTTCAAACAGCTGCAGCACATAAGAATGCAGAATTTTTCTATTTAGAATACAGCAGTCTAAAATCCTCATTTCTGCTCCCTGCCTCTCGTTGCAGAGTTACAGGTAAAGCAGAGAGTAACTAACAAAATAAAAGTTATGCTGCCTCAGCTGGGAAAGCAGCCTGTTCAGGCCCTGCACATCGTACATACCTGCAGCTGCCTGATGCCTCCCTGCCAGTAAAAGCTGTTCTGTTCCCAAGTTGTTCATGACTGCGTATCAGCTGGATGAGCACAATGGTGCCAGCACAGTGGCTTGGGTTAAGCATTCCCAGTGCACCAAACTCAACAGAACTATCCCTGACAAGAACTAATGCTAAGCAGTCATGTTGTTCTGGTGGCAGTCACACATATTTCTTACTGGCTGAACCCTGAGGGTTATAACCTCCAGCCTATAGGGAACAAAACCATTGCTGGGCTGTCACAGTTCCAAGAGCAGAGGCAGCATGCTCTGTGCTGCATGCACCCCAATTATTTTGTTTGGAGACCTGCCCAGAGCTCAATCATTTCTTTCTAGGCCTTTAGACCTGTCTTTCATTCCTGGAAGGCTAGAGGAAGGAGGACAGCATCCATCTGAGTCTCATCCCAACGGGAGTCGGGGTGTGTGCCTGGAGCATGCACCCCTCACCACCACCAGGGAAGTTCCACACTGTCACCCAACACCAAGCTCAGATCCATCCTATCTCAAAAGATCTCTGGTTACACACTGAAATAGTGGCTACAACTGTCACTTTTCTCACCATGCATCTAACTCTGTGTGGCTTCACAGGTGGATACCCTGCACAGCTGTACAAAGGAAGATAATACAACTAGTCCATAGTGTAGAGTGGTAAATTGTGTATTCAGTTAAATGAAAGAGAGAAAGATGTCTTGCAGGTCTAACAAGGACTCTGAAAATGTGATTACAGTTGGTGACTTCCTCAAAAATCTCCTCTGTAACTGTGCCTTGTGTCTGTGCTCTCTTTTTCCTCCTGTAAAATGGGGCCAATAATATTTTTAATTTCTACTTCTTTGGTCCTACTTGTCCATTTTTGTTGTTGCAGGCATACTTCCACCACTATCTGAGTACAGTGCCTTTGAAGTAGAAAAAACCCCTCTTTTTATCTGAAACCTCCATGCCTCACTGCAATACCAATCCCCAATACATTACAAAAATTGTCTCTGAATACTGCAAATGCAGTCCCTTTCTTACCTTCATTTACTTCATCATTTTCTTTGTCCACTTGTGCTTTCAGAACATAACGTTTTATCAGTCTTTTCATTATTTGCTGCCAAATTAAAACAGTTATATAATCAGGTGAGCATATATAATTAAACACAATTCACTTTTCTTTCTTAACTGTCTTCTTCACATCTGTTTAAATGAAAGAAGCAACAGCCCCAGATCAAGCAGTTGCCTCCTGTGGGCTCTTCTGGTGGCATGCTGAGATGCATCATTACAATAAAACACACTTCTCATCCAATTACCACTTATTTAAAGCACACCACAATCTTCTGTTGGCAACAGGACAACAGGAAAATAAGTCTAAAAATGCCCGATTTAGGCGTTAAGTAGCTCCAGAATAGGTCTGCTCTGTTAAACTCAGCTCATGTGAAAGGATGTGTAATAGTAAGAAATAAATGTTTACCTTTTAAAAAGAAAGAAAGAGAAGTTGAGATTTTACAGTGCAATGTCAGCTGTAAAAGATACATTAAGATTGTGTATTTTTTTATACTGTAACTGCCAGAGTTCCTTGTATGTGCTAATGTTCTTGCACTGTGTTACTGTACCTGATCTAATGTAGCTCATCTAACACAGGTTGCACAGGTGGAATATATGCCTGCAATATTTGGTTTTACAGTGCAAAAGCTCCTATTTACTCTTTAATTCCTGAGCTGGAAAGAAGACAGGAATATAGTATCTGACAGAATGCTCTTTGCAGAAAGGAGCATTCCCATCTGCAGGAGTGCTGAGTGTCACATCTCAGATCATGAGAAGAAAGGCAGGGAATGTAATGCTTAAACCTAGTCAGCTCAGTGTTCCCACATCCCTTCCCCAGAAATCAGTTTCAGATGTTTGCTTCTCACACTTTCCAAACTGGGACAACAAAGGGAAATAAAAGTTTTGTATGGGATAAATGCTTCGAATAATGGGGCTTGAAGAATAACTTTTTTTTTTCAGTAGCATCCTGGAGTTGGATTGCTACAGGTTTTCTTTACTTGGTGAAGGCAAAATGTACTTGAAACACAAAATTCAGCTAATAACTTCTCAGAACAGAGACCACTGTATGTACTCACCTGATAGCGTGTGGGCTGATTGAGAATGCTGTTAAAACTGTGGGATTCAAAAACTCTGGAGTTCGACTGAGTGAAAAGGTTTAACTAGGAAGAAATAAGACAAAATTAAAATATTATGGAATTCAGTTAGAATTCAGCTCAATTTTTTTAAAAATTGAAGACATTTAGGGATGTCCCCCTGGTCACTCCATCAGAATAATATTTTTAAAAAATAATTCATTATCTTCACTTATTTGTTTTTTTTTTTAAACACTGATCATTTTAGCTATCCTGTTCACAGCTTCAAAGCAAATGTACTCACACAGCTGAGGAAATAATGAATTATGACTTGGAATCAGGGATGAGTGGCTCCTGCTCCTAAAGCAGGGAGACTCTCTAAATTTGCTTTAACAAAAATGTGTTGTGGATCTGCACTCTTAAATATTCATTCAACAACAAATACATGGTCAAAACTTGGACACCATTTTCAGGAACAGTAACACATTCAGAAAAATGGTCATCATTCAGTTATTAAAGGATCACAAAGACATCAGATCCCAAAAAATTTATTATTTTTTAGCACTGGGCTAGAAACAGAGGGGGAAAGGTCCAAGGTGGCTTTGTGACCTATGCAGAAGGTTTGTTACTTCCAAATCAGGAATCTAACTCTTCTCTTAGATACACTGGTGAGGGTTAAGTAAAAAAACACACATGTATCCATAGAAGAAGGTTCAGCCCCCTAATTCCATTCATTTTCTTTGTGGCCAATTAAAAGTCACAGAATCAGAGATAGCTGACCTCTCTGGTGGGCTAGGGGAACAAACTGCAGTCAGCCTGCACCTATATACTAGGTTTGATGCTTTCTTTACCTGCAGTTGGTTTTGTGCCTTTGCCACCTACAGCCTGTGGCTGAAGCTGGGCCACAAGTGGGCTATTCTTCCCTACTCCAGGCTGCCCACCTTCTTGTGGGCAACAAGACATCCCATCAGCCACCTTTTCTTGTAGGGAGTGGGACAGGATTTCTCTTCATACATGGTGTAATACATAGTGTGCCAGCCCAGCCTGACACTGAGGAGGCTGTGGGCTGCCTTCCCCCCAAAATCATTGGGTTTGTTGTTCAAGAGAACTAGCTCCAACTGTCCTGTCTCAGCAGTGACTAATGCAGGATTCCAGTTCTTCAGTTACTTTCATTGTACGTATGATAAAACACACTGCTGGATGACATGTAAGAACTACTGAATGTTTGTTATAAAAGTGTGTCTTGGAGAGCTGAGGTTTCTTTGTTGTGTTTATTAAACACACCTTTCTGTATGGTGACTGGAGAGAACTAATGAAGACACTCAGTTCCAAAAAGGTGCTTCAAAACTGATTTAAGTTGGCATTGTTATAAACATGTATCTATTTTACTGCCTACAGAAAACTGGAGAAAATATTTTCTTTACTGAAGAGTCAGTAACACCAACAGCTCAGAAGTCCTCAGGTTCAAAAAGATCTTTCAGAAAGATGACTAGACTTGACATTTCTCATAATTTACAGTAAACCAAATAATTATTTTTGAGGTATTGATTTCAGTCTTTTTAATACACTGGACCTTGAGCCTAACTTATAAAAAAACCCCACATGCATCCTCTTTAACCCATTTGTGCCCCAGTCTGCCATTAGTAAAAAAGGGGGAATTGTCACCTAATTCTCACAAGGGCATTGAGAGGCTGCATTCCATTAACATTTGTAAAGAACATTAAGACACTCTCATTTAGAATATAATGGTTAGAATATTATTACCAGTCCCCCTCTTCTTTCCTTTTGTCTTCTGTTGAGAACATAGCTTTTGACAGTAGCAAGTGAATATCATACTGACCACACTATCCTTTTCCTGTCCTAGTGAAAGGAAAAATTCTCCCCTTACCCCTCTTTGTTTTTTTTCTAGCCTAAACTAAAAATCTTTCTCATGGAGGCTGAAAGCATCTTTATTAAAAATTTAGGTAATTTCTTGTGGGAATTATTTGCTTCTTTCCACATCAGTTATTTTTGGTTTAATTGTGTTTTTCCAGTTACTGGACCTTGTCCTAAGAAAATTTATAGCTTTTTTTTGGTCTTACGCAGTATTCTTACACAGTTTAAAATGCAGCTCTATGAATATAAATGCTTAAGTAATTACCATACTATCACTGGAAGCACAGATTACACCCTAAAACCTCAAGAAAAGCAGAATTCTGGAATCAACACACAATTCTTCACTGCAATAAAAGTATTTCAATACCTACCCTAGATTTGGAATTGCCCATTCCCATTTCAACATCTTTCTGTAGCCGTCTCCTCCTGCACTTAGAAAAGTTGATGATCCTCATGATGAAATAGAAAAAAGATTTAGGGCTTGGTACCAGACTGAATGGAGGAGGTAACGTTTTTCCATCATCAAAATATGATAACCAAAGTTTAGAACGAGCAAACTTCCACTCGACATCACTGTCATCCTGTGTTAAGATATAAAAACAGGTGTGTTTATATTTAAAACAAGTTTCATGTGCATCTATGTGAATGTAGAACTCTGAATAATATAATGATCTGGGAAACTGTCACTATAAATACACAATTTTACTTTTATTTCAGCAACTTGGATTTTTAAATCCCAAGTACCTTCTCTACTTAAAATTTTCTGAGTATTTTTGTTGGAGTTGCATGCTAAATACTCATTTTTAAAAAATGAAGATACTTTGTCATCCTCATGAAATTTAAATAAAATTTATCTATTTTAATATGCAATGCAGCCAGCAACTTTGTGGGAAGTATTCATTCAACTGAGTCATCTGGCAGATTTGGAGAAATACTGCTACTGTATTTTCAGGGCATATGGCAAAGCTCAGTAAACCTAGAAACAAGTTTTAACATGGTACCTAAAGTGAAAAAAAGCACATATAACAAACAAAACATGTAAGAAGCACTGCGAAGTGTGACTCAGTCACAACCATCTTGAAGATAAACACCTGTATCAAGCTCCATGTAGGGAGGCATAGAGATGTAAAAAGTATGTCCATGAATCCCTGCTGTGCCTAAACATCTAACTTCTTCACATTTAGCTAAAAGGTTTGAGGATTGGAACTAAAAACCAGATTTCCATTGAAGTACACATATCAAAATACATTTCATCCGTACCCAAATCATCTGTCAAAGATTGAAGTGCACTACAATAAGGAAACATGCAACAAGCATCCTAAGGAAACTGGGAATGTAATGCCCAACTCAAATGTTATGTCCAGTAACTTCTTTTTCTACTTCACAGAAGACTTCATTGGAATATTATTTTAGGTTGTAAGATTGCTGGATGGGTGACATCTCCTTAGATGCACACATGGCACCTGATGAACTACTTGTTCAGATCCCATAAGGTTCTGCAGCTTGCCTGGGTTGTTAGATAAAGCCAGTCCTAGGAACGTGGTATTTCTTGTGATCTCCTTTATTGAGGGAATCTCTTCACTGTACTTTTGCATATCAAGATGTACTCATTGCAATAATTCTTGATAATTCTGCTTTTTTTCAATGTAACAAGAGAGAACAACTGGGGAACAGAGCTCACCTCAATTTCTTGGTATGAACTGTTGATCATAGCAATCAGCATGTTGAGCAGAACTACCACCATCGTTACATTGTATATGCCATAAAGAACATAACCAATGTTCTCTATGAACTTATGATCATATTTGAGGACAACAGAGGTTACTTCAGACAAGCCAAATATTGACCAAAATAAGGTCTTGAAACTTTCTTCCACTCTGTAGGAAAAGAGGAAGGCATTATTAGCAACCTCACAAATAAATGTGTGTAGTGCTTAAAGTGATAAATGATCAAGTATTTTTTCTGTGAACCAGGTTTGTAGAGCACTGATCAAAACAACAAAGAACATTTCTGCACTGTGCTCCATCTATCCGTCATAGATAATACAGTTATAGTAATACAGACAAAACAACAGTCCAGGAATTAGAAAGATACTGTATTTCCACTTTTTGAGATAAAGCATATTCTCATCTTATTATTTTCCAGTGTAACTCCACAGGGGCAGACTTCCCCTATCCCAATAAAGCTAAGAGTAGGGCTGATGGGAAGAAACTGCTGCACTCTTTTCAAGAGCTATTGATTAAACCTTTGATTTGGAAAGCTGCACTCAGAAGTGGGTAGCAGAAGGTTCAGCAACAGAACTGACAAACCAAATGGATTTCATGGGATTTGTTCAAGATTTGTTGAAATCAGCAGACCAGACACTTCAACAGGAGGCAGGCACCTAGACAGCCTTAAGGCTCTGCATCCCGAACTCACTGCCTCTCTGCTCTCATCTCCACCCCATACTCAGGGTAATTCCTGAGGAAGGGAGCTGCCAAGGACTGAGACATCTGCCAGGTGCTATTCAAGCCTTCAGGGCCTTTGAGAGTGGATCCTCTTCCAGCTCTTCTCCTTAGGTTGCCATTCCTCTCTTCACTCAGGAAACATTGCTACAGGGTGTCTTGTCATGCAGTCAGGATACAGCTCACTGCAAAGCTCTATCCTGCTTCCCTGAGAGGATGACTCATGACTGCAAGCAAATGCAATCAACTGATTGATAGTCAATAAAAATGTTGAGGGACCTTACTTTGTACCCTACAGAATTTACTGGAAACTACTTCTTCCTCCCTGCTGCCAAAAAGTGAGCTAGACCGATGTATTTTCCTAACTATAACTAAAATATGCCAATACACATTATCTTGAGTTACCTGTTTTAACACTGATAAATGATTTTTAAATGCCAATAATATAGACATGGATGCACAGTCTGTTTAAGCAATTGAAATTAATAAGCATTCAAAAGGTATGCACTCTAGACACCAAATATAAAATGCTGTAACAAAGAAATCCTTATATTTCATTACTTATCTAAAGAAAAGACAGTGAGTAAGAATAAGTGCAAAAATGGAGCTCAAATTGGGGATAAGTAGGAAATAAACTACATAAGAAAAAAAAAGTCATGTCTCCAGTAAAAAGATGGGGAAAAAAGGAAAAGTTCTGAACTTTATTATCCTGTAGGATTACTTCTGGTTTGGAACACTGAATCATAGAACTATTCAGGTTGGAAAAGACCCTTGGGATCACCAAGTGCAACCATTATCCCTATTCTACAAATTTCTCCCCTAAACCATCTCCACCAACACCACATCCAAACAACCCTTAAACATATCCAGGGATGGTGACTCCACCATCTCCCTGGGCAGCCTATTCCAGTGTCTAACCACTTTCTATTGAAAAAATGCTCCTGATGTCCAGTCTAAACCTCCCCTGTTGCAGCTTGAAGCCATTCCCTCTTGTTCTGTTGCTAAGAAACTATGAGAAGAGACCAGCACCAACCTCTCTACAATGACCTTTCAGGTAGTTGCAGAGACTGATGAGGTCTCCCCTCAGCCTCCTCTTTCTCAAACTAAACATTCCCAGCTCCTTCAAGT